TGTTGTTTAAGGTTTCTGGACGGCAGAGACCATGGTTGTCTCAAGCCGTTTGAACCGCAGGCACAGGAGGCCAGGGCTTCAGCAGGGCCTGAAGAAAAATACAGCACTCTGAGGAGTGCAGAGGTCCCGAACCATTTGAACCACTGATACATTCGGCTGTCTCTTCCAGCAGTTCAAACGGTGCAGGTATGAGAGAGACAGCCAAGAGGATGTGAGATTCTTGTGATGATGTGGTGGTTTAGGGGTTTAGTTCCAGCATAGATTTGATAATGAGGTAGCCTTTCCAGATTTCAACTCATGGTGGCAGGCTGCCTTTGTTTAGAGGCTGTTAACCTTTTTTAAATTATATGTCATGACGTAGACACATCTGAAACAGTAGACACTGTATACACTAGAAACACTAGTTTGCGTCATGAGCGATGTTTCACCCATGAATAAATTGTTGTTTCTTTTCTAAATTTGGTAATAAATGTCATATAAAAACCAGCATTAACGTGTTGCATAATGATCAGACATTCAATTATTTTACAGCTGAAAACAAATATTTCCATGTGCAGTTTCTTAAAATCTGTTAGCCAGCAGATGAAAGTCTACAGTTTTTCTTTTCACACATCATCAACATTTGTAAAAGAAGACAGGAGTTACAAAATATACACCAAACATAAACAGTTAAATCTCAACCCCCAGCAAAATGTATGACATCGCCAGAGCCCTTCGGAAATAGGCGTAACAAAGGAAAGTGGGCGGTTAGGGGCTTTTTAAACTGGGAATTCTGCAGAGAGACTCGAGTGGAGTCCCAAATTATGAATGTAGAACTGGAAATGAGCAGAGCACGTCTCCTTATCAGGAGCTAATGATCATCTAGCTGCTCCCATGGTGTTGCTGTAACAGTTCGTCAACTGCTGGATACGTGTGATTCACAGCTCACCGATAACTAGGTGAGAGGAGGAAGCACTGTGAGACTGTGCCTCTTAGTTTCTTCACTATTATCTACCTCTGTGTCTCTGGTTCTTGTTATTAGAGTTTAATGCTTTGATTTACATTATGCGCAAAGAGAGCGAGTACTTAATAACAGGCTTGTACTGCACTATTACACTTTATCCTGTTTTGCATGAATATTCCTCCATATTGTCGTGAAGTAAATGTAATGTCTCCACAGAGTCGTGTCATACTCACCACTCTGGATATTATAGAACTGCAAAAAAAAACAATAAACATAATAGAATATGGAACAAAAATCAAAAAAGAGACACAAGTAAGTAATGTATGTAATGTCACGTGCATTTAAAGTTCTCAGACCTGTTCTGAAGTATGTATCAGATGTTCACATTTTATGAGCAATATAGAAAAATATGATCAAACAATTTCAGTGTTTGTGTCAACAATTCTAACTTCCCAGACAAAATGTACAAAACTGCAATGCCTGTGTTTTATTACGTGATCATTCATTATCTGTTTAAACAGGAGACACCACATGAGTGTCCACAGAGTAATACTTGTTAACAACACAATAATAGACACACCGATGCACAGCTACATTTTAGTCTCTTATAAACAATGTATTACATGTGAATATACTGCAAATGAATAACAAGTAGGTTATCTGAAGATAAGGTGTAGACTAATGCAGGTAAAACTCAACACATACACCATGTTTCACATAGGCATTCATGTATCTCATGAATATCAGTGGTTCCCAAATGCTTAGCCGCAGCACACTGGTGTGCCGTGAGGCAAGTCCACGTGTGCCATGGGATTTTGAGAGAAATGTAAAATATTATTATTGCAACACTACTTTAATACTACAGGGTTCCAGAGTGCGACCATTTAAATCTGTGATGTTCAACTAAAAATGTTCATTTCTTGCACCACTGCGCCAAACACTTAGCTGGTGCGTCTCTGTATTTGATCGAGTCCTGTTGCTTCCTCATCTCATCTGTGGAGTTTACACTCACACACACAGACCCCAGGCTGGCCACGACTCACTCACACACTCATACAAAAAGGATGAATCCAGAGTTTCCATTTTGGACCAACACTGTAAGATTATAAGAGCCGCTGGTTCAGGATCACAGCAGACATAGCAGATGGTTTGAACCGTGCCAGAGTCTCTGTCTGAGTGTCCTCCCTCCACACTCCTGCTTACCTGAGCTCACTTTACACTTTAACAATAAACACCAACCCTTTTGTTCTCTGAAAATGTATTTCATATCAAGACAAAATGATTACAAATTGAATGGAACTGAACCTAGCCCTATTAAATAAATTACCACTGCATACCGGAACTTTCAAGAAAAGATATAGTAGGTATTACTGCGGTGCCAGAAAGCACAGTCGCACCAATGCCACCAATGTATATAATAACTTTTAGATTTACTGATCAGCAGTAATTCATTATTCCAGAGGTAAATTCTTTACCCTAAAAAAACTCTGGGAAGTCAAATTTTTGCCATTGACCAACCACTGTTCACTGGGTTTAGTATAGGTCATAAACAATTGCTCCTCCATGTTGGTGGATGGGACATGGATCAAACTTAAACGTAAAATTACAAGTTTAATAAACTTATCCAATGACAGTTTCTGTCATTTTTGTTACTTCTTACTAGATTAATGTTTTCATGTCTCTGATCATTTTGGTTTTAATTAGTTATTTGAAAATGTAAAAATAACTAATGCAGAGACTCTGGCTCCAAAAGTCATCCAAAGGGCAAGATGGCAGAACCTGTATATTATCAGATATTTTAGCTTCATTATATAACAGGAGGAAGTGGAGACGCAACGTCCATCTTTATACACAGTCTGTGATGTCCCTCTCTCCCTCAGACCTGAAATGGGTAAAATCAGCAGAAAGTGTTGAGTTTCACCAACAGCAAAAACAGCAAAGAGGAAGCAATGTAACCTTTAAAACTGATCCAAACATGTGTGACACTTTGCCACCGCACAGGAGACCCCAGGCCTAAAGTCGCCACTCTTTTTCACCTGTCACTCGGAGAACAAGACTGTCAGTGAAGGCAGCTCCTGTCTCTGCCTGAGAAAACAAAATCTGCAGCCACAAACATGAGTCACTGATTGATTACAGTGAACTGAGCTGAGTCAGATATGGGACCATCAGGTTTATCTGCTTGTTTTCCATTGTGGTTTCATTGTCAGAATCCTGCATGACTCAGTTAGGCGATGACTGAAATGTGCTGAACAATTGTTTGAGCAACCAAATACGGATGTTTTTGGTTAATTGTAAAAGGAAAAAGAAAACAAAAATGTATGTATTCAGAGAATATTTTAATGTCTATTAATTCATGAGTACTGTGAGGTATATATAGACACAGACTCAACTTTTAAACTTAAACTTAACTTGTTAAGTTGCTTATTTAATATAGTTTGTGTTTGAGCACTTTGAGCTGCACTGAATAAGCTACAGGAGTTAATGAGAACTTGTGACTAGTGCATGGTCTGTTTGTAATGTTGGTTGCAGCTTTTTTTCTGAAATTGTTTAAATGGATAGTTCACCAATACATGGAAATTCACTCATATACTCACCACTAATTGTATTGGATTTGGCTGCAACACTGTTTACCCCTGAAACTCCTAAAGTGTTTTGTGGACTCAAACATTTCACCCACCCCTTCATCGGTCATCAGATCATAACATTTCAAAATAAAAGCTCTGTAGTTGAGCTCAACATAAAGCATTACAGCAACAAAACAAAACTTTTGCTTTTCCTTTGAAGACAACTTGCTAAAGAGAATGATATTTTATGAATGCCATGAAGGAGATCGGTTCCTATGCTGTGTGTCTGTGTTGCTCCTGTGGTGAAATCAAAATGATCAGATTATCAAAATGATCTGGTGGGACAGATATTATTGGCCACAGGCTGCTAGATACCAATCTCTGCTGTAGCTTATCTGAGAATATAGAAGAAGAAATATTCAACATGGTCCACAGACTGACTGTTCGCACGCCACCCTGCCCCCACTGCTACAGAGCTTTGGTCGCCTGTTTATTCAATTACTAAAGATATTGAACGTGTCACGTGTCCAAATCACACCAAACTTGGCACTGCACTTTTTAGTAACAATAGACATGCTAAGTGTGAAGCCAATATGATGATGGGTTTAATATATACGTTCCACATGCATACAATCTGATGTTTGTGGAACTATCAGGTAGATTATAGGATCTTTCACAGATTCTCAAAGTACATAGTTGTTGACATGATTAAGTGTTTCAGGAAACAAAATATTCACCTTGTGTTGAGATAATTATTTCATTGCTTTATTTATTTGATTCGCCCACACAACACTGGACAGCGAATTATGAACACAAGCCCATGAATAAATTATTCATTTGCACAATTAGTTTTTATCCCTGCTGGGCTCTGTGAATGTCTTGATTTCAAGACACAAGTGAGTAATTTGAGTATTTTGAGAGAAAACACACACACACACACATACACACTTACAAATTGAGTTGTTAGTTTAAGTAAACAAAAGAACCAAATAAGGGATGACATTAGTGATCAATCAAAACAAATGAAAGTTTGATTTTGCTTGAAAACAAAGTTTTACATCCATTGTTTCCCTATGTTTTATTGGAGTCTTATATATATTTTTCTTCATCATAAAACACTTGCAAATAAATATTTTGAGCTTTTTAAAAATGTCCATTTATCTGAGTTATCTGAAACTTCCACCTTTGAGCAGTTTGAGAGCACAGAGCACTTTGTTTACTCCACAGAATCAGTCAACATTATTTATCAGTTATCTTTGGCACAAATCAGTATCTTGGTGAATGAATTTTTTTTGTAGTTTGCGTGTTATGATTTCTTGATTTCAAGTGTGTGTATCAGTAAAGTTGAAGTGAAAACATGAAAAGCAACAAAACTGGAGTTGAATGGTTGTTTTAAGCCACAGTCCACTGAGGTTCTATCACTGAGATGCTCCAGACACTGTCTTGTGTGATTACCCGTCCCCTAACCTCTCCCCGCCTTGTTGACTCCTCAGATGTACATCCAGACGGCCACGCTGACCATCTCCCTCAGCCTCAGCGCCTCCGTCTCTCTGGGCATGCTCTACATGCCAAAGGTTTACATCATCATTTTCCACCCTGAGCAGAACGTCCCGAAACGCAAGCGCAGCTTCAAGGCCATCGTCACCGCCGCCACCATGACCAGCAAGCTGTCACAGCTGGCAGCGGAGCGGCCCAACGGTGAGGTGAAGACGGAGCTGTGTGAGGGCGTGGAGGCCAGCGGTAAGTGAAGGAGGGGTTTAACCTCATAATCTTATTGGTTGAATGCTGGCGTTATGGTTTAATGGATTCCAGTTCAACCAGTTGGACGATTTTACAGAAAATAATATCAAATATTGATAAAACTTTTATAAATTAGGTTTCACAGCTAAAGGGTGCATTCCACAATTCTACTGATCCAGATGTTAAAAAAAAACATCCCATTGACATGTGGCTCGTTTCATGTCAATGGACAAGGATGGTTGTTGATATCATATCTAATATCAGTGTTTATTCAATATTTTTGGTCTTTAACTTACACCATGAACCCATCATGGCTCAACAGGAGAGGAGCATCCATGAGTGAGTCATGGGGTCGTGCTTTCTTCAAACATGTCTGTACCAATTACTGCATATAAAGATGGAGGACATGACAGCCCCCCCAAAAGTGAAGCCAAAGCTCCTTGATCGCCCCCTGTTTGCTGGCTACAGTATAGGTCATAAACCCCGCCTCTTCTATGTCGAATAGGATGTCGAAAAAGTTAAAAGTTAAAACACGCATCAAATACATTTTTCTCAAAAACGGTTTCTGTCATTGTAGGTAGTCCTTGTCACACTGATGTGAGTTCAATTGACTTGAATTGAATTCCAGAAAGTTTAAGATTGACAGCTGAGACTTGTGATTGGTCCAGTGTGTTTGATTGCTCCATCACCGGGGATCACATTCAGGCACTGGCTCCAAATGACATCATCAGTGCAAGATGGCAGCACACAGGATATCTTAGCTTCATTTCTTGATGGTGGGAGGAGGTGGTGACATGTCATCATGGTCTGTACACAGCAGAGGTTACAACTTAATGTGATGTTTATGGATTTGTATGAAGCCACGTTTGGATGATGCAAGTGTTGTCTTTTAGTTTTTTAGACATGTCTTTTTTGGCCATACAAATCTTTCTATTTGACTCTATAACAGTAGGTTTAACCAAATGTGGCACTGCTTCTTCAAAATAAGACCAGAAGAATTTACAGTGAAACAGTTACAGTCCAAAGACAAGCTTCAGTTTCTCTGTAAAGTCTTTGGATTTCTAATGGAGCCAATAATGAGGATTTAACAGGAAGTCGACATTTAGACGTCACCTGAGACCAGATGTGATGAGGCCAAAGTGTTTACAGCTCAGAGTAACACTTCAAAGCTGCTTCTCTGTCCGTCAGCAGAAAAGTGGGAGACGTTGGATTGTTTACTCATCAGAGATGTGCTGACTGAGGTGATGTGTTTATCTAACAAGCAGCAGCTTTCACATCAGCGTTACTTTCTCAGCACTACACGAGGCTGAACCTCCTCTTTTATCTCACAGTGTTCGCTGTGAGGGAGAGACTCACTTTTGAGAAAGTACACCAGGTGAAAATGCATCAGAGGATTATTTGATCCATAATAACTGCTGAAGACATTACATTTAAATTTAGCTAGAGTATTCATGCCCCCCAGTGCAAAAACCTTTAGCTCCACTGCTCTGATGGTACCTTCTCTCCAAACACGAAGCATATTTTCCCAGTCGATGAGATTACATACAATGTCAATGCAAAGACGTGATCAAATGTGAATTTTTGGGTCACTCGTGCCACGTGAGCAGATGCATGTACAAGCAGGAAGAAAGAACAAGGAGATCTGGTAGTCAGGTGGAGTGTCACAGGAATCCTGACAAACAGTCGTTTCCTGGTCAATCAGTTCCATGTGATTCGTTACCTGTGGTCAGACGTTCATTTTTTGACTTTGGAGACATTCACTGACATTTGAAAATCTGCTGAACCTGCAGGGCAGTGTTTCCCTTTACCAACCTACTGTTTTCTTTTCCCTCCTCAGTGCCTCCAACAAAAACCACCTACGTCAGCTACACCAACCACGCCATGTGAGGGAAAGATGCCTCTGAGACTAGGACGTCCTTAACAGGGAGTTTTCTGTCAGACAGAGGAGGTGTCACCAGAGTCAGGACAGAGATGCTCTGCATAATGTGAAGGAACAGAGCAACTGACAAATTGAACCAACAAGTGTGTGGTGTCTTTGTGTTTACAGACAGCAAGCGTGTACGGCACCAAACACCAGAGAGGATCCCAACTAAAAACCATCTGAGAGACGCGAGGAAGCAGGAGTATGGTAACCTGAAAAACAAAAAAAGTCCTCATAAAGAAATACAAAAAAAGAAATAATGGAGACCAACCGTATTTGTTGTTATTCTAATTGTACGTAAAAAAAAATTGTGGTTGTGAAAACTTCTGATTCTTGTCTCATGTCGTGCGTCCGTCGACCTGCATTATGGGATGAGTCCGTCGGTGTTCTCGGGTAACTGAACTGTAGCTTTTGGTTGTGAAATGTCTAAATGCCATGGTTGAACTGAAGCATGCTACTTTTGATACAAATGATCTATTTATAATAAAAGAATGTTTAAGTAGTCTGTGTCGTCTTTGGGTCAGTTTGAAGGGGAACATAAGAAAATGTACATTATTGTTTTGTTGATGTTGGGGGTTGGTGTCTTCTTCATTTTGTTTTTCAGTCAGACTGACTCTGGAGGGGCAGTATTTGACAATGCAAAAGTGCAAAAGAGTTTTTCCTTTCAACCCCCTAATAAAAACTCCGTGATCACCACTGCAGAATTCAAACATTACGCCCTGCGTTACCCCTCACCCGAATCAAATGGAGATTTCTGTGAACTTGAGTGGAAAATCTCCTGCTGTGTTGTTCATTTGTGAAAGTCCCAATTGTGCAGACATTCTCCAGAGTTCTGAAAACAGCGAAGGTGTTTCTGCTCCAGAAATGCTCACGTTCTTTCTTTGTGAGTCTCTTGAGTCTCTTGTGCTTTACACTTCATCATATCCACAGACTGTGGCAGTCTAACTAACACAACAGTGTTGTTGGTGGAATGTTAATAGCTTTAGGCTTTATAGTTAAATTCCACAAACATTGGAGACTATATCCAAGTTTTTACTGTAAGAGGCCTTGAAAGGCAACATTTTACTGCTAAGTAGCTGATAGAGAGAATGTGATAAGAGACATGACCTATACATTCAAAGGATAAGGGGAAACTATACCAAACACTACATGTCCAAGTATGGTAGAAGCTGCAGAGCAGGAAATTAACAGAAACTCCATATGCGCTGGATTTGACCTTTAACATCATGCAAACCTGAGTCTGGCAGGAAACTCGGCACAGTGTGCGCCTCATTACAGACTTTTAAAAACACAGTCGATGTGATCGATACGTGCAGTGGAACAGGAGAGGACGGATCAATACGAGCTGCCAGAGTGAACTCCTCATGCATGTAATGAATATTTCTGAAGCTCCTGGAAGAGAAGTAGAGCAGGACAGGTACAGTCTGTGATGAAGCCTGCAGGCATCCTGCTTTTATTTCCCCAGGCGCTGCTCTCATTTCTGCCGTTTGCAGTCAGCTGAAAGAAAAGAAGCTTTGTCTCCACACTGCAATGAATACTCAAGATGAAACTGCTCATCTGAATTTCTACACAGGGTTTGATCTTAGGTTCTGTCTAATCCCATGTTCACTGTCCTCAGGCGCAGCTGTAAATTTGGATTTCTTGCTCTGGGATGTTTTAACACTGTCACTGTGTCTCCATGGTTCGTATTGTTGTGAAAGCTTTAATTCTGTACACACTGTTTCATGTGGTGTGGAAAATTAATATGATAAAGTAAAAAACAATCATCACATAAATGAGACAATCTCAATATGTTAATAACCTTTGAACCGCTCTTTGTTCTCTCTCTCTCTATCCCTCTCTCTCAGGGTCCAGATCCGAAACTACTCCACTATTATTACTATTATTATTACTGTTATTATTATTATTATTATTATTATGAACTGGTGCTGCTATCATTAATGACATCACCACCTCTCTTCCTCGTTTTTTCCGCTCACTAAATCAGTCAAGGCAGATGGCCGTCCACACTAAGTCCCGTTCTAGAGGTTTCTTCCTGTCAAAGGGAGTTTTTCTGTCCAAAGTTTTCAAAGTTTTTGTTGTGGGAGCTGTTGCGTCCAATAATTGTGTGAGGTGTCAACCTTACTATGTAAAGTGCCCTTGAGTTAATGTAATGTTGTGATTTGGCGCTCAAATAAAATTTTATTGAATTTTCCTGCTCAGATATCCCTCAGTACATTTAAGTACCGTACCCAAGGACAATTCTAGGAACATTTAAATTTTTTCATTGCTGTATTTGAATTGAATATTGGTACTAGAGAAGAAAAAAAAAGAAAATTATGATTTATTATTAGTTACAGATCATGGGATGATTTAACTGTACAGTGCAAGCTATTCAGCGATATATAAGCCCTTTTTGCATCAATGACGGAAAGATAATATATATTCTTCTGAATTGATCCATTCTGTCTGCTGGACACTTGGCTTTGATTGTAATTTGTTGCTATAAAATTGGGGACATCTGGTGTCCAACAGTGAAGACACTCAGAGAAGACTACATGTTTTGAGCATTAAAAGAATGAATGTGTTAATCTGATTATTTCTGTTCACATTTCAGATTTAGTAGCATCAGATGACTATTGACTCTGTGGCCCCAAAGTGACCCAGTAACTGCAGCACCATGTCTGTCCCACGTCTCTCTGGTGACTTGGTCGTACAGCTGCAGCTTTCAGACTGCACATTCTCCCAGCGGCTCTTCTTCAACATCCACTCCTCTTCAGTTCATCGAAAACATCATCCTGCTCCTACTCCACTTGACATTTTATCAACCTGTGATCAGCTTACAGCAGAAAGGTTTTCTGTCAAGTGTTTTGTCAGGATCACGGCTGCAGCCACATCCTGGATCATGATCTAGGTGGCATCTGATCATGGATTATGATTACAACTAGATTGCTTGATATACAATATACCCACTCACATCTGCTACTATTACTGGCCATACTTTTATCATTACAATTGTCATTACTGCTTCTTTCATTTCTGTCAGACTCATTATTTTGTATAAATACTTTAAACATTGATACACCTCTCTATCTGACTTTTCACATGAAAGTTATTAATGTTCTTATTTTGATGACTCAGTTACATGTGGCATCATTGCTCTTCTGTCCATCCTGGCTCTCTCTGAGGTTTCTACATTTTTTTTATTTTTTTTTTGTGGAGGTGTGTGTGTCTGTGTGTGTGTGTGTGTGTGTGTGTGTGTGTGTGTGTGTGTGTGTGTGTNGTGTGTGTGTGTGTGTGTGTGTGTGTCACTCTATTCAAGGGTTAAGGGCAGAGGATGTCACACCTTGTTTGCCCAATGAGGCAATGTGATTTGTGAATTCATGCTATACAAATAAAATAGTATTGATTAAAGGAGCACCTTGTAACCGTACAGCAGGATCTGTGCTGTCTTATTTTTTTATTTTATTTTTTTTGCTGTGCGATTGTCTGCATTTGAAACGCAAGATGGGGAGCACAAACCTGATTTAAAATAAAAAAAACCCTCCGTATGATTTTCAAAAAAGGTAAATTTTGCTTGTTTAGTGAAGTGGAACTAATGTGGTGGTGACCTCTGACCCCCACAGCTCAGATACACAAGGGGCCATTATGTCTCAACAAGGAAATTACAGATGGACAGCTGAGAGGGGAAAAGAAAAGGACGCATCAGTAACGTGCCGTTTTAACGTGAAACCTTAAACAACTTGCCATGAAAATCTGAAGTACAGATCTCAGTCTGTGGATGACAAGTATTCATCCTGCAACATTCAGTTGTTATTAATCTGTTGGAGTCAAAGTGTCTGGGTCTCAGTCGGTCTCGGTATTGTTGAATGCAAATTTAATACTGTGACAGATTTTTTGAGTGGAGTCAGATTTAACAGCCTTCAAAAGAGAAGCCCATTCAAACAACCCTCTTCACTGGAACCTTTCAATTTGAGTAGCGTTGTGTGATTTTGTTTAAAACGTCTGAGCCCATTGAAGTGGCATCTTTTTTCTCCTTTATTTATGTTCCTGTCTATCTCTCTGTTTTTCCCAGAATGCCGGTAAAATGATTGCCAATTTGTGATTAATTGAATGGAACAGCTACTAACCTGGCTACTTAAATCACTTATAATAACAAGCTTATAAATCATTTTGATGTTACACTGACTTGTTACAGTGAGAATGTTGCCTCTGTTATTTTGCTGAATGCCTGTTCCTGCACAATGTAACTTTGGTGAGCAGGTACGACAGAAGTGTGTAAGTGAGTAATCATCAGCAGCTTAAACAGACTTAGAAGTCAGGGACTCTTGAAGTCAGTCAGAGTTGGGGGTGTTGAGATCAAATCTATATAATGCCTATTCCTATTAGTTTGAATGACCAACAACATTTTATACCAATTTTAATAAAGGCAACTGTCAGCAAACTATTTAAAATCCACAATCACAGTTATGCATCAAATAGGCTCCACAGAAAATATACTGAATGTTCTAGAATAAAACAAATTATTCAAGAAAATAAAAAAGGGTTCATATTAGGCCTGTTACTCATGATGTTGCTGTAGAAAATTCAATACACATTTCTGAAATCTTTTTTAGAATACATTATTTCCTTGCAATTGCTGTGAGTCATCATTAGGAGTTGCTGTAGCTACCTCAGCACCCTCACTTCCAGCATCCTCGTTTGACGTCAGAATTAAGCTGCGTCTCAAATCGGGGCGTGGATCCTTCTGAGGGCCTGGTTTACCCATAGACAGTCTACACGTAGACTGCTAAGGCCGTACCCAAATGAAACGTTCTGGTCTGCAGAGGCTTTCTTGGTGTCACCAACTCATCCAGGCCTTAATGCTGTTGCCTAGCAACAGAGCTGAGGTTGCCCCTTGTTTTTTTAATCATTTGTTCCGTAGATGATTGGTTGAGTTGAAGTATGAAACTTAAGCATTGTCCCTTCGTCATTTAAGCGCAATGAATCCTGGGATATGTTGAGCCAGGAAGGATCCACTTGTTGGAGTCTTGCTTTGGGACATAAGCACACATTTGTCAGTTGCATGTGATGGAGCATTGGAAATTGGACAGTCTAGTTGCACCACTATAAAACTATGTACCTCTTTTTCATATTTGTAACAACTGTTCAGCGGTAAAGAGATTTTGATATATAAAATCAAAGGGTTATGATTAAAATAAATAAGACTTAAAGGGTAACATAAGGGAAGGTGTAAGACCGGGGCGCTGTATCTCACACTAGGTGATGCATATAAAGCGCTATAATGCGACAGCGTTTCTCGTTTAGGGTGCAAGGAATCGTTTCAGTGCGGTTGAACGATGCAGTCATTGTTCCAGTCATGCCATGGATAGGCATTGTTTTCTGCACATAGGAAATACTTAAGCAGTCAGACCTGAAGCTCAACAGAATTATTAATCATGTGTGGCTGCAGAGGATGCTACCATTTAGCAACTTACATAATGTTGCTTTAATTAATTTTT